TGAATAAACATTTTTATCATCCATATGGTCAAAATTCTTCCCTACTGTCTAGAAACACCTTTTGTGTCTCTGTGACGCCACATACAGCAGTGGTCCCAACACTGGTCCTTGAGGAACACCATCCTGCATGTTTTAGTTGTTTTCCTGCTGCGACACATCTGACTTGAGTGAACGGGCGATTAACAGGTTCCTGCAGAACTCGATGAAGTAACTAATCACTGGATGTGGTGTGTTGGAGCAGGAAACACCTACAACATCCAGGATGGTGTTCCTCGATGCTGTGAAAACGGGTTTTTCACGCGCCGCCATTTAAACTCTTAACAGTCTCGATCTGCAGCCGTCCTCCCAGCAGAACCACTGATGTCTCACAGCTTTCACGAAAATGCATTTAACGTTGGTTGTTCTTTGTTGGGGCTGAAAGAAGACGTCCCACAGATCTGACAGAAAGATGGACGTCACATTAACATAACACAAAGAGCGCACAACAGAAATGCTAATTTAACACGGTGAGGGCGTAAACTGACAAAAAACAGATGATGCAGGAGAAAACTGCTGATTAAAAATTAACAGTTGTGATTATCAAATCTTTTTATTTAAGGACAACAAGCAAAACAATGATTATAACAATAATAATTATTAAAAAGTTCCTGAAGAAACATTGAATGCTGCCAATAAAACTACAGCTGAAATACACAATTCATTTTCCGTAAAGTTTGGGATTTGTTTCTTAATAATCCAAGTTATGACAATGCCAGACTCTTATTTTGAAGAGCACTTATGAGCTTTAGCCTAATACTTCCTGTTGAAGCCTTTTTTGTTGCAGATGATTTTAGTCAACTCTTCTTAAATTAAAGGTGAATAGTAACAGAACTGACCAAATTCTACAAGGTTTGTGGAGACGTCCATGATTGAGTCGTATAACAAGGAAGAACTTTAAGCATGTCCACCTTACATCTACAAGCATATTTAGCTACATCTAGAATATTTAGTTACATCTACAAGCATATTTAGCTACATCTACTAGCATATTTAGCTACATCTACTAGCATATTTAGCTACATCTACAAGCATATTTAGCTACATCTACTAGCATATTTAGCTACATCTACTAGCATATTTAGATACATCTACTAGCATATTTAGATACATCTACTAGCATATTTAGCTACATCTACAAGCATATTTAGCTACATCTACTAGCATATTTAGCTACATCTACCAGCATATTTAGATACATCTACTAGCATATTTAGCTACATCTACTAGC